CTGCAATTCATAAATAAATGAATTAACAGACAGATGATGGGAGAGTCTTTTTGGCTTTTCAGATCACAATCAAACTAGATTTTGGCCCTGTTCGTGCCCCAGGAAATCTGCTTGACTTTCAGGACACACACCTCCTGCCGGTGATGAGTTCGCCACTGCGCCGATATGCGAGACATCTAGCTGGAAATATCAGAAATCTCGTATATCGACTGTATCCTCAGGGTTTGTCTCAGTTTCAATATAATGCTCGGCTGTAACGCACTAGTTGAGTGATTTTTTTCATTTCGACAATTTTTTCAAGGTGTGACGTCACCGCAACTTCTGGACGTTCACGGAGCTCGACAGAATGAGGATGACTACTGCAGGCCGACAGGAGTAAGATCGTTCTTGGGCTATTTTCGTAGTTCATGTCATCTCATTAGCGCAGGCATATAGAGATTAGTATCGATTACCCGCGTCTAGAGATGTATCCATCATGAAGAGTGACGAGACGGGTGGAAGCGGTGAAATACTTTTGACCTTATAAAACTTGCTAAGCTTTTTTAGTATTCATAACAGCTAGTTCGCACCCATATAAAACTTATTTTCTGCTTCGCATCTTCCTTGCTTGAACGAGTCTAAAAACGTCCGGTAAGATCCGATGGAGGGAGCGTTAAGGGTCCTAATTGTGTCCTGGATAAGCATGGTGCCTAAAATGAATAACTGGGGGGTTCGAGTCCGCCTGGAGACTGAATGTTTTATCCACAATGCAGCAGCTCTTTACTACCAAAGCGAGCGTTGGAGTGATGCTGCCGTACCGTTTTTTGTATAGATTGGTTTTTTCCTCTGATCGGTATTATTTATGATATCTATAGTAATTACAATTCGAGGATTCTTTTAAAGTCTGCACGTTCAGTTCTCATCTCGAGAGCAGTTCGTCTGTCGGAACGGTGGACGTTGTTACAGCACGAACGATGGGCCTAAATGCGACTGTACGTTGAGCGAGTACGAGGGCAAACACTGCGAGACAGGTTAAGCAGCTAGTTTTATTTACTAGGCCAGAGTTTATTTGGCTATTTACCTTCTGAAGTGCATTGATGCCAATTTTCAGAAAAACTCGACTCCGAGCTGACGTTTTCGGGTCAAGAGTGGGTCGGCTACGATGTTTCCGACACCTCAGCCGGACCGCTGAAGGCGAAAGCCGAGAATTTCTCGTTGTCGTTCAAGACCGTGCACGGATCGGCAATGATATTTTTTGCTGGCGACGACAGGGTTAGTTCTCAAAGTCCATTCCTTAGCTGCTTTGTGTGATAGACCCCCTATTTAAATTAAGCCGGGCTTCGCGCTAATGTTTTTGATACAGGCGAGTAGTAGAAAAGGTGAACTGTTAGCAGATAAGTAGTGGATGACAAAACCTTGAAGGATAAAGCTTCCGGGGTGGAACAATCCCTTGTCGTGCCGCGCAATCTACTGCCGTTCAGAATTGTAATAGCGCTTGAATCTGGTGTAGCCCATGCGGGCCAGCCATGTCCCAGTCAGTAGCGCTTTTGTCGTCACAGACAAGTGTACCATCAACTGGCCGAATCGAAGGGATGAAGCTTGGTTGGCTCGGGCGAGATTTGAGAGTAATGTACCTGAAACTACATTTGTGCAAGTCTGAGGGAATTGGTTACCGACCAATTGATTGTGATGAAATAGGTAGCAATGTGAGATATCTTGCCCACGGACTTCCTATCATCCTCAAAGCAAACTGTGATTTTCTGACATCTTAGCCAAACCCTGTGCATGTCAGTTCAGTTCTCAAGAGATCTCGTCGGCGAAAATAACCTCCATCAGCTGTAAAAGGGTTTGGCATAGTAATGAAGTATCGTTTAGAGTTACATGCAATTGTACCTCGAAGAAGGCGCTCTCATAGCCAGCTCTAAGTTTGCCGGTACTGCTCCGCGACTTGTGAGGATTTTCAACGAGTTGCCGAGGGCGAGGTTCGACGACGACTCTTGGCACACTGTGTCCATGCAAGCACGGAACTCTCCAGATGGTTTGTTTTATTATCCAACGATCTTTTCGATACCAGTGTGGTTCTCTTTTCCCGGACAATTATTTAACATGCGTATTTAGCTGGCGCTTCAGCCTATTTATTACGCTAATCGCCGAACTTACCACTTTGTGAAGAAAATTGAAAAATTCTTATTGCAGAGGACGCTCCAAAACCGCTATAAAATATCCAATCATAAGCAATCGGTGATGAATAGTGAAGGTTTTTATCGCAGTCCTATGAAAAAACACCTCGAGGCAATGATCGTATTTCTGTCCGCCGTGCTCCCCGATCCGTGCGCCCCCGTTTTTAACAAAATCCATTCACTGTTTCAAGATAACTTGTGTTACATTGCTCATGAGTCGAAGCGCGATCGTGGATAGCGGGTTTCGAACCGGCAATGGAAAATTTCTAGTCGATGTATCCAAATTCATTCAATTTTTTAAGGAAAACGCGAAGCAGACTGCGGCGCTACATCTTGATTGGCGAGAGCTAAGCTAGGTTTACATAGAGCCTGGCTGTCTTCTTCCGATTAGTAGTTCCATGTGTAATTAGTATGAAATCAGACCTTCTCTTTTTTCAGCATTTGAGATTCTGTCTCTGAGTTCGAGTCTTAGTAGTCTACAAAGGACGTCGCCAAACAGGCTGGTGTGATACACCATGCCTCCTCAAGGTTTCATGGCCGGTTGTTTTGCGAACTCAATTCGCTCCTTTACGCCTGACGTGTGCTGAAGCCTGTCGCTTTAAAGGAGATTGCATTCTAATTGCGGGCGGACAATGCTCGGCGCTGGCGCCAGTGTGCACGCCGCGGCCAGCTGGCTGGTCTCAGCGCCGGAGCCTGTTCTCGCCGGCCGCTATCCTCTGAGCCGTACTCGCAGGCTTCTATGTCCAGTTATCGAACTATGTTATCTGCTTTATTTTATCGTGTCATAAGGTACGGCTCGAAGACTAAGTTTTTTCCCAGCGGAATTTGCTGATCTCGCTGCTCTGCCTCTTCTGCTGCGGCGCTGTGGTGGGCGAGCACTCAGCGTGTCTAAGGCAAAGCGACTGTGGATTTGGTTTCTATAGTCGTTGCAATTACCCTAAAAGCAAGTTTCTAGACGAATCCATAATCATGGACAAATTTCGATAAAAACCCAGCTCAGTTCCCGAACGCTTTCGAGAACTGAGCCGGGTTTTTATCGAAATTTGTCCATGATTGTGGATTCGACCGTAAAGGGTAAATAGTGCCGAGGATTCAGCGATAAGGTCGGAGGTCGAAAGAAGAGAAACATACTTATCGTTAGTCGAAGAGCAGGCAAGTCCCTAAGGGTGCGGGACTATGCCCATTTCGTAGCTAAGAGTACCCCCCGCCTAGCAGGGGCATACCGCGGCCGCGTCTGACTCTTGTAGTTTAGCAGAGGGAGCGCTAGCGCTGAAGAGGGCAGCACCGATGAGAGTCGCAACAATGCTGGAATCACGGGCAAAAAGGGGTTCGCTTCTCGGATCTGGGCCGTTTCTCATGGCTTTTTCTTCATCCCTGCTCCACTAAACATCTTTATTTGGTTTGTGATGCGCTACTTTTTCATCGTAACTCCTTCAAGGAGACTTACGCCTTTACCAGCCTTAGGCAATTACGCCCATACACAGCAGCTTCTTTGTTGCCACCCTCTTCAGAAGACTGCTGATTGTGGGTGATTCTTCCTCGTTCAGAGTATCGTTGGTACCTGGGAAACACTGAGCATTTCATGCATCGAGCACAGTAAAAGCCTTCCGAGTGCTTGCCTATGTGCATTTCGGCGACAATCAAGAAATAAGAACTTTATGTAAAGGGACCATGAGGTGACCATCGCCGACTATAATGGCACCGGGTTAGGTAGAAAGGAAGAAACCATGCAATGCACAAACTAACAAATAATCATAAAAGCAAGTAGTGTGCATGCCTTTTATTCAATTTCATTTATTAACATGCGACAATTTCCGAACGATTTCAATTCGCTTCCGCTTCAGCACTCTGATAGGATTTCCGCAGTTCATGTAAGTTGTTGGTGATAACCTCTGCTCTTTGTTTTCCTGTTTCCTTTCGGGCTGCTCCACTTCGCTTCTTTTACCTATCGGGTCTGTTCTGATTTGAGACGCACTGCCCCTCTGCACTCTGCTGCCGTTTGGTTTCGTTTGAATGAACTGTTTCGCGTGTTTTCCGGTGATTAATCGATCGATAGATATTGAGCGATTGAATAATGGAGATATGAGTTTTCTGTTGGAATGATTCTGAGTTCAGAGTGAAGCTTATCGTTGATTTCCCCCTCATTTTGGTTCCCTTTACAGCGAAGTTTCCGTCTCGACACTCCAAATTGTTCGAGATTTCAAGCGATTCCTACACTCGGTTAGAACTCGAGTAATCATTCAGCTTTAGCTGACATTGGTCGTTGACGGACGGAAAGATGAGATTCGTCAGTACGCGCCAGAGCTCGACTGGATCGGCCACTCATTCGCCTATCTCGGCTCCGTTCCTCTTGAGCGCCATGTCACCGGCGTCACGAAGAATGCTTTTCGTGGGTGCGTAAAACAGGTGGGTGAACTGTTCAGTTAAGGTAAACTGTGATGGAAAATTCCGTGGTGCGTTCATACTCCACCTCGATAGGTGCTTGTGAAGGGAACTAACCGACTTCCTCGAATCGAGAAAATTCTGACAACATTCGAAAAACGAGATAGTACCGACAAGGCGTTCAAGGCAAACCCCGGGGTTCAATTGGTGCTTACGAGCGCTTCGTAGTGATAGCTTAGCTGCGGAACGCCTGAAATTGGAATGGGAAACAAGAGAAATCTCTGGGGAAAAATTAAGGCCTTAACCTCTGCACTTAGATTGGGTGTGATACGGTAACGAGACAGAGTTATCAAAGAGGACAAGACACGCGAGAGAGCACACCACTCGAGAGAGCACGCTCATCTCTATGTCAGTTGCAGTGGGAGCGAAGCGTCGCAACGGGGTTCGATGGTT